GGTACTGTTTCAGACGGTTGACCCCTTTATTCTGAAAACTCAGAGACTCTTTAAATGTAAGTGTTCCTGCACAAAACACCTTCATGCTGGAGTTTAGTGATGATCCTGATCGATCGATGGGTCGATGATATTTTCTCATATTTACGCATCAAAAGGCCCAGACGCCTCGCGGTCTCATGGTTTGGTCAGGTCTTTTAAGTCCTATGTTTTTTTGGCTCAGTTCTTCCTGGTCGTCTGGTTTCAGAGGTGTGCGGCGTCCCTGAGCACCGTGGACTTTCATTCACAATTCATCAGAGGCAGCACTTCCTGTGAACGCCACCTCGTCTTCCAGCAAGCTGCCAAACTGTCGTCTCTTCTCAGTGGTAAATTGGCCCCTTCAGAATCTTTTTGAGACTGTTGTTGTGCCGTCTTGTTTTGGTCGTTTGATTCTGACTGCATGTTGTTTTGTGTTTCTTTTCCCAGTGCCTCGCTCTCGTTGTTCCAGCGCTCCTGAACACTACCATTCCATATTTGTTTACATGCACAAACACAAAAACAGGATATGGAAACCTTTCAGCGTTCTAACCTCCCTCCATTTTTTAAAATCAGTCTAAATTCTAAACATTGTAGAGATCTGTCTCTCCCCCCCCCCCTTTTGGGTTGGATGCTCACTCAGGTCACCATGTGGTGGACTCTGAAGCTTCAGTGTTTATCCAGCTCTGCATGGGTCTGTAAACCTTTCTGTGTTCTAACCTCTCTCCATTTTTCAAAAGCATCTCCAATATTGATCCTAGTTTGAGCACGTTTCTGCTCGTGGAGCTTATTAGAAACATGCAGAGGCTTTTTAGGTCGGGTACAATCACTTCTATCTGAACCACTTCTCTTGACCGCTTCCATCACTGAAACACCTGTTGACCTGATAACTGCTCTCATATCTGACAAACTGAGGGGCGTCCAAAACAGCCGTGTGGGGGGTGTCTTCAAAGCGCCTACCTTCTCTGGTCCAAACAAATCCAGAGCATTCAGGAGCAGAATCTAAAGTTAGAAGGAGGACATACTGGCTGCTGCATTGTTGTCAGAGAAGCCAGCACTTAATGATCAGAGAGTAAGATACCTTTATCATCTCACTCTCTACACAGCTCACTGATTGGACCTTTAAATAATCATGTTTTATGTTTATCTTTACAGCCCAGATACAAACTGCATCTCCTTTGCAGTTGATCTATTTAATCAAAGATAAAAGAATTGATGATCATCTCTCTGCCTTTTGTTTTTGCAGAGCTGTATTTTTGGGTTTCCTCCGCTCAGATAAGAACATTTGGAGGAAACTCGTCTTTCAGGTATCAAACTGTTCCTGTTCTTTTTTTTAAGGCGTCAGTGTTTTTAGTGGAGACTGCGAGCCCGAGCGGAGACAGACGGGTCAGATCAGCTCTTCTCTTATTGCCTCCAACCATCTTTCACTCAACTCTGACAGCCGCAGAGTCAGTAACAGGAAACACTTTGGCAGCAACAGCAGACCGACATGCCCTTGGGCAAGAGATATAGAGGAACAAGAGAGAGAGAGAGAGAGAGGGAGAGGGAGAGGGAGAGGGAGAGGGAGGAAGATTTGTGAGAGGACTTGATTCATTTTGTGGAAACTGTTGAAGGGTCGGTTTTGCTCTGAGGTGAACCCAAGACTGCTTCAACCTCAAATTTCTGCTTCAATCTGAGAGAATTCAAAATCAGAATCTGTAAAAACCTTCTGTTTTGATGATTCGCTGCATATCCGTATTCATTAAATCTCAACATGAACCCAGATTTAACAGATATAGTTTTATTACAGTTAATATAAAGTGACATCACATCCTTCTTAGAATCAGGATAATCTAAAAATAGAGAATAAAGTCAGATATTTTTTAAGCCCGATAGTGTAAAAAAAGTGTAAAAATCCTGCAGTTCCTCGAGCGTCCACTAGAGGCTGCTGCAGAAGCACAGGAAGTCACATACACACCCATTCTAAAAAGCCTGTTTTTACAGCAGAGATGAACATGTTTACAGCCTGGTTCAAAAAACCAAATAGGTGGGATTCGAACCTGGGTTGCCTGCTCTCTTCAGTGCCCCTTGTTTTCATCTATATATACTGTATAATCCTGTGTATCAGCTACATGTCATTCAGAAGAGAGGAGACTTTTTAACAACGTCTTCAAACGGCTGATTCTGAGTTTGAACTTTGTTTCAGGGTTAAGATGAGGAGAGTCGTGTTCAGAGGAAAAGATTCAAGTTACAGATGACAGGAAACGAAGAATGTTAAAGAAAGAGCTCACAAGTATACAAGGATGAACGCGAGTGTGTGTGTTGATTTCAGCTGGTCTCTGAACACAGGCTGCTTTGTCCTGAACCGAGGTCTGAAACCGAGAGCAACCAGCCGTGACACACACACACACACACACACACACACACACACACACACACACACACACACACACACACACACACACACACACACACACACACACACACACACACACACACACACACACACACACACACACACACACACACACACACACACACACACACACACACACACACAGTGCTTGGTCTCGTCCTACATCCTGTTACCTAAAAACTGATCAGATTTCACCACGACAGGCGGGGAAATTCCATTTAATAACTTACTAAGGAGATGAGGAGAGAGGAGACGAGGGAGGAGGAGGCGCAGTACAAGCTAACTGGTTGATCAGCTGATATACAAACCACAGACTGTAAACATTAACGAATTCATCAGTTCCTGCAGGGGGCGCTGGAGTCCCATCGATGGCGGTCTCCATGCTGGAAATGCTGTCTCAGTCTAACTTTCAGTCAACCTAACGACAGGCTGAGAGCTGGAGCTGAGGCGGGTTTTAAACCTCCTGACAAACCATTACACCGCGCCCACCTGTCAATCAGGTCAGCTACACGCCTTATTGTGAATAACTCTTATCCTTCATCAAATCAAAACTGATGAGTCATCAAAACATTCACCCCCCGTACAGTGTGTGTCCATCCAGACATGAGCTAATCACACCTATTTGGTTTTTTGAACCAGGCTGTAAACATGTTCATCTCTGCTGTAAAAACAGGCTTTTTAGAATGGGTGTGTATGTGACTTCCTGTGCTTCTGCAGCCAGCCTCTAGTGGACACTCCAGGAACTGCAGGATATGTACCGGCTTCATTTTTCATTACTGGAGGTTTCTGCTTGGTAAAATCGTTTAAATTATGACTTAAACTGTGACTCTGAAGAAAAGTAGAAACACTTTGGGAGAGAGGACTGACAACAGCAACTTTAAAGTTATTCTGTGTTCATTTAAAACAGGAAGTCCCAGCTGTTGTCCTCATATCATCGCCCGAGTCCGAATATTCCATACGCGTTTGTTTCAGAATAAACACATTTTTAATTTCTCTGTTGTGTTATTTCTATTAGTAACATCTAGACATTTGTGTATACATCGTTCTGGTTTTTGTTTGAAGGAGTTATGCCGGTGAAGTTATTGAGTGTTATAACATGTTTCAGACTTCAGATGCTGCTGTGCATCATGGGTAGTCACAGCGGGAGGAGAACGTCCTGTCTGCTCTAAAAACATCTTCCCCATCCTTACATCTCTATCTCACCCAGGGAGGAGCGAGAGAGGGCACACATGAACACACACACATGAACACACACATGAACACACACATGAACACACACATGAACACACACATATGAACACACACACATGAACACACACATGAACACACACATGAACACACACATGAACACACACAAACACGCACGCGCACACACACACACACACACACACACACACACACACACACACACACACACACACACACACACACACACACACACACACACACACACACACACACACACACACACACACACACACACACACACACACACACACACACACACACACACACACACACACACACACACACACACACACACACACACACACACCAACAGGGAGTTAACCTGTTGCCCCCCCTTCTTGCTCTCAGCTGGATCCGAGTGAGGAGGGTAAGGAGGAGGGAGGAAGAGGAAGAGGAAGAGGAAGAGGAGAGAGGAGGAGTAGGAGTTAGGAAGAGGAGGGGGAGGAGGAGGAGGAAGAGGAAGAGGAAGAGGAAGAGGAAGAGGAAGAGAGAGAGGAGAGAGGAGAGAGGAGGAGGAGGAAGAGGAGGGGGAGGAGTAGAAGTTAGGAGGAAGAGGAAGAGGAAGAGGAAGAGGAGAGAGGAGAGAGGAGGAAGAGGAGGGGGAGGAGTAGAAGTTAGGAAGAGGAGGGGGAGGAGGAGAAGAAGGAAGAGGAAGAGGAAGAGGAAGAGGAAGAGGAGAGAGGAGGAGAGAGGAGAGAGGAGAGAGGAGGAGGAGGAAGAGGAAGAGGAGGGGGAGGAGTAGAAGTTAGGAAGAGGAGGGGGAGGAGGAGAAGTTAGGAAGAGGAGGGGGAGGAGGAGAAGAAGGAAGAGGAAGAGGAAGAGGAAGAGGAAGAGGAGAGGAGAGAGGAGAGAGAGAGAGGAGAGGAGGAGGAGGAGGAGGAGTAGGAGTTAGGAAGAGGAGGGTAAGGAGGAGGAGGAGGGTAAGGAGGAGAAAGAGAAATGGAAGAGGCAGAGGTCCTGGAGGTGAAGTTCTGCCTAAAGATAAAGTGCTGAAACAGGGTGGGGGGAGAGAAACATGAACCAGGGTTTTCCCAACATCAATCCCCAGACGGAAATGAGAATAAATAAAAAGTCTTTGACTCAAAAATATGAGAATCAAACGGAGAGAGTTTATAATGATTAAAACAACTTCGACTTGACTCTCTCTTCAGGAAGGAAGGACATATTTATCGTACAATCTCTAAAGATGTTTTTGGTGTTTCCAGAGAGCAGAAGCCCCCTCCCCCCTGCTGCCAGCTCATTTACATCCCAATTTAAAACTACAATAACTTGAAGAAAAGGAGGAGGAGGAGGAAGAGGAAGAGGAGAGAGAAGAGGAAGAGGAGGATAAGTGTGCGTCTGTTACCTGATAATCCAGGATGCTGAAGCCGAGGCCTTTGTCTCTCTCCTTCTGAAGCTCCAACACCTGAACGTCAGGAGACCACAGAGCCAGCTCCCCATCATCTTCATCCTCCTCATCATCTTCCTGCTGCTGCCTGTGAGGACTCCTCTCCTCCTTCAGCAGCACCTCCTCTACCTGCTGCAGATATAAGCAACACACTTTTAATACAATCATAAACATGAAACATCCAAAACTCAAACCTGTAGCTGTTATGTTATTATTTTTGAGAGCATGTATTTTGTGTTCAGCTCTCCAATAAGACTGGACAAGTAAGACCGTTTTGGTTTTCTTGTAAATTTATGAAATATTTGGCAGTTTTTTACCTTTGTGACATTCAACGTTCATTTTGTTTGTTTTTGTGCAGAGAGTGAGACAGGTTACCTGTTGGACCACCTGCTGGTCCCTGTCGCTCTCCTTCAGCTCCGTCTGACTGCAGAGCATCGACGACAGCTTCAGCTCGATCTGAACAAACATCAGCAAAAGATCAGATTTATTATCAATACCAGAAAACTCTTATTATATCGTATGTGTGTTCATTAACTCTCTAACCTCATCCACACTGGGCTGTGCCTGTCTAACAGGTCCAAGTCGAAGTGCTGGTTCAGGTTCTGGTTCTGATTCGGACTCTGGGTCTGGTTCCAGGTCAGAGGTCGGGTGTCGGCAGCAGACCAGAGTGAACGGAGGAGGAACCTCTTTGAGGAAGGACACCACCTCGCGACGGGACTTCCCGTACAGCTGAACATCGTTCACCTGCACACAGAAAAAAAAAAAACAACAAAATATATTTTCACTTTTAGCCAAAAACTTGAACTTTTAAAACTTCTCCTGATTCAGCTGAACAACAAAAGAGCATTAAAATGGATTGATAGCTGGTGACATGATAAAGATGAGAGTAAAAAGTAGTGGTCTAAGGATTGAGCCTTGTGGAACTCCACATTTTTATTTAGTCTGAAGAGACTGCCCCAATAAAAGAGAACCAATCTACTTTTAACCATTTCTCTGTCTGAAAATATTCTTTTTACACTTCTGTTTCAGTCAGTGGAGTTGTGAGGTTCATGGTTAAAAGTCTTGCTCTCGTAGACTGGAATAAAGGCGTTGTTACAGGAAGTTGACATATCTTATGAAATGACACCTGAGGAAGAAAGAGTGATTATCTTTGTCACTTTCCAGTTCAGATAAAGTCCCTTTTTCAGCAGAATTTAAAGGTTCCAACACTTTAAAGATTCAAAAGATGTTAAAGAAAAATCTACAAATAAACAAATCGCACATCCAGTTGTGTTTGTGTTCCTCTGTAAGAGAGTGCATGTTTTTACCTCGAGGAGCTCGTCCTCTGGTCTCAAGACTCCGTGTTTGTCGACGGGGCCTCCAGAGGCCAGAGAGGAGATGTAGTGATGACCATCGAATGAGTCCAACTCCACACCGAGACGCAGCATGTGGACGGGCAGCAGCTGCACGCAGACATACAAGACGACAGGAAAACAGAGGTTAAAATGTTTTAAGGTCAGTGCAGCTCAGAATAACGCAGTCCCAATATAACAGTGCTGCAAAAAGATTCTGACTTTACAAAGACTTCATAGTTCGAGTATGAGGATGTAGTTTGTAACATTTTTGAATGGGGATTCTTTTTATATTACATTTATATTATATATAGGAGCTAAATCTGATCTAAATCTAGGTACTGCAGTCTAAATTCTAAACATCATAGAGAGCTGTCCCCCCCTCCTCTCTAGAGTGGATGCTCACTCAGGTCACCATGTGGTGGACTCTGAAGCTTCAGTGTTCATCCAGCTCTGCATGGGTCTGTAAACCTTTCTGTGTTCTAACCTCTCTCCATTTTTCAAAAGCATCTCCAATATTGATCCTAGTTTGAGCACGTTTCTGCTCGTGGAGCTTATTAGAAACATGCAGAGGCTTTTTAGGTCGGGTACAATCACTTCTATCTGAACCACTTCTCTTGACCGCTTCCATCGCTGCAACACCTGTTGACCTGATAACTGCTCTCATATCTGGCAAACCAAGGGGTGTCCAAAACGGCCGTGTGGGGGGGGTCTTCAAAGCGCCTACCTTCTCTGGTCCAAACAAATCCAGAGCATTCAGGAGCAGAATCTAAAGTTAGAAGGAGGACATACTGGCTGCACACAGCACCGCTCCAACAAAGACAGAACAACGTGATAATAAAGTTTTGTGTTTCTCACCTTAGAGGATTTCTGCAGCTCTGCATCATCTTCAATAACAGGATCCAAGTGCACCACCTGAACACACACACACAGATTTATGGATGAAAGTAGGATCATAATATTTAACACTAACCATGGAAAACAGATAGCATCAATGAAAATGTGTAAAATTTTGTCATCTCACCAGAACTTCATACTTCGGTCCCAGAGCCTGCTCCCATTTATCCTCAGTTCTACATCTGAGGCTACACACACACAACACACACACACACACACACACACACAACCACACACACACACACACACACACAACACACACACACACACACACACACACACACACACACACACACACACACACACACACACACACACACACACACACACACACACACACACACAGTGAACGGGCTGTGTAAGCAGTGGAACAGATGTAAAATGACAGTCGAGCAGTTAAAACATTA